TCCCCTCAAACAATCAACCCCCTTACCTCACACCATCACCTCCTCTCTCACAGTATTACCCCCCTCCCTCTCACCATCACCCCTCCCTCACACCATTATCCACTATACAAGCACACACAGCATCCACTACACAAACACACACTGCATCCACTATACAAACACACACTGCATTCACTATACAAACACACTACATACACTATACAAACACACACAGACACACACTTATATATGTTTGTCTGTATGTCTGTGTATCTGTATGTGTGTTGGTATATGTGTATCTGTATGTGTCAGGGTGTGTATGTGTATCTGTATGTGTGTGTATCTGTTTGTGTGTTTGTATCAGTGTGTCTGTATGTGTGTGTCTCTATCTGTATGTGTGTCTGTGCCTGCGTGTCTCTGTGTGTTTGTATGTCTGTTTGTTTGTATCTATATGTGTGTTTTTATCTGTGTGTCTATCTGTATGTGTGTCGGTGTTTGTCTGTATCTGTGTATGACTGTTTCTATGTAACTGCATGTGTGTACCTATGTGTCTGTGTATGTGTGCCAGTGTGTGTATATGTGAGTATATGTGTGTATATGTGCATACAGCTCAGAATTTTGCCTACACTACACACAAATACAACCCTACATCCAAATGTCAACACTACATAAAAACACACCACCATATTAAAAAACCACACTACAGAAAAATGCACGCCTGCATTCAAATGCCAATACGTGCAAACACACCCGTACATTCACTCATACATACTCCTTACAAAAACATGCTTACATTCAAACACACAAGCACTGCTCAGTGCTAAATATATAAAAAAAAAATACAAAAACTGCTCAGTGCTCAATACATGTAAAAAATGTGTGGGTGTTTTAAATTTTTAAGCTGGGGGAAGATACAAAATATAGGATCCGCCCCGGGTGCCAAATGCTCCAGGTACGCCCCTGGACACACACAATATATTCCATGTCACATTTTCCATGAAGCTCTCAAACAGGCTCACAGCTCATCAGAGGAGGCGGATTTACTGCACAGCCTGTGAATACAGAGCTAGATAGAGCGTGCAACTGTGTATCACGGCAAGTGAACAAGTCATACTGCTTCACTGCAAGAAAGCCGATTCTAACGTGGCATGTGCAAGTGTTTGCTATTTCCATTCAAGGTGGATGCTATAACGATACCATAAATAATACGTAAATAAAAGCCATATCCCCTCCAATCAACCCTGGAATCCTCTATAATTTAGCAAGAGAATACTCTTCTATTCCAAGAACCCTACAATTTTATTAACTTATAATAAATCTGAACTCTGGTAAAATTTATTCTTCAATATTATTTTTTCACCTCTTCAGCCTGGTTCATAAAAAAAGAATATGCTGGCTCCGCTGAGCAATGTTTTTCCAATATTAATGCTTCAATTAGCTACAGCATCAACAGGTAAGTAACATATTTCAGCTGTCTTGACATGAGATTAGATGTCTGTGATTCATGGTTTGCTTGATATAGCACATGTGGGGACTAAAGGGTGTAAGATGAGTGCATTAAAAAGTACTGTACTGCTGTGACTGTCAATTCTATTTAACTGTGTTTACAAACAACAGCTATAAAATGAAAATGAAAAATATTAGTTAAGATAGAATTTTTTTTTATATATATAAAGTATTTTATGAACAAATTACATTTTTTAAATTCCCTATAGAAATAGAATTCTTGAGATCTATTAGTTTCAAACCCAGGGACTAAATGCATTGCATCAGAACATGTAATTACATTAAATGACATGTCATTTCAATTCTAAATCAGTTTGGGGGGGGTTTAGTATATTAATCCAATATAGAAAGTGAGAAAAAGTGATCTACTGCATTATTGAGTCTCAATATTAATCTACATTTAGATTGTATTGTGTTAAAACTAAAGGACATATTTAGCAAGTCTAAGAGGAGCAATTATGATTCAAGGTAAATAAGGAGCAATCGCCATGGAAACCAGAATTCTCTTTCACGTATAAGTGACATTTCTAGAATTATTTTAATTTGGATGGAGCACATAGTTCTTTATTTCTACATATATAAGTTTGTGTTTGTTAGCAAAGTCGTCCAGTGATCACATCAGTCATGTGACACTGATAATGAATTGCCATTGGTTGTTCGTCCACTAGGGTACCAAGTTTGGATTGCTATTAGTGCCATCTGGGAAGGACTGATCTGCCTGAGTTTATTTTGTGCAGCTCGTGTTTAAATAAAATGTAAATGATGTAATTTAAACAAAATGATTCCATCTCCAGACATTCTGCTCCAATGTATCGGTCAGTCTATTAAATGCTCTATATAAATGTACATGATGAAGCATGTCAATGTTGTGTGTCAAGATTTTTGGTACAGTATTCATCAGCCAAAAATCTTTTTAAAAATAAAAAAAACAAAAGTTATCTACATGCTATCTAATATCCGTATGCACACTCAAACCACTATGCACATTTAAATAACTGGGGATTTTATTAGTATCACTCTGATGACAATTAAAGTGCAAGCTCACGTGTCCCGTCAGGGCACATATTTTAGATGAGTTCTTGCAATAACAATTTAGCTTACTACTTTCAGCTAAACGGCAAAATTTCTAATGAGACAGAAAGGTCAATTTTGCTGGTGCATGAGTCACCTTATAGGTTTGCCTTAATCCGACACGTGAGATTGCACTTAGACGTTGGAGTAATACTAACAACCTCCTGTTATTGAAATGTGCATCGTGATTTTGGGATAGAGCAGAGTTAACTTTCTTTGAGTTGTGTTTTGATTAAGGACGGCATAGGTAGGTCTTTTGGAGAGAATGATAATTTTACATTTTACACATTTTAAGACTATTATGGTTGCTTACTAAGTTGAGAATTCAAAGTGAATTTCAAATTTAAGGTCACAGTAACCAAACAGAAAGTATTGTTAGCTTAGTTTTTTTTTTTTACTTTGTCTATATTGACCATAAATGTTACGTTTGCTATGAATTCACATTGAATGCTCACTTCAGTAAATAACTTTGCCTAATAATTTAGGATTTTAACTCGACCACACACACCCAACAAGGAATGCCAACACGATGGGGGTATTCATTCATTTATCCTGAAATATAGCTTTGTGTTCGGTCTTAATGCCGTTCTGATGAAAACAGGCAGACATTATGAACTTATCTGTTCTTAACATGTGATTCTCTGCAGATGCTTGGGTTCTTGTAAAACCATGTGAAACATCTGTTACAATGCTCAAGAAAGTGTAGCTGTTTGGGTCTCCATGGAGATTATTTAGTGATTTGACCCACTGCATTACTTAACTGCTATATGCTCCCAAGGGCAGCCCTTGAGCCAGCTTTTTCTATGAGCAAGGTTTTCAAGAAACAGGTCACATCTGCTATTTGAGAATACCAGTTATTGCACATAATGGACATTTATTAAGACATATTTTACTATTTAGATATTATATTGGAAATGAGCTTATGGGGACCCTTTAAGCAAAATAACCACTTTTGCAGTACGTATGGAATATTGAATGTTTGGGTGCCTTCACCTTCTTTTTATCGAATCATTCTTATGCAGTTTGACAAATATTGGGATTCTTTTGGCGCCTGGCCACTCTGTGGACTAACCTACCCCGGTGATGCAGCCTATCATTGCCACCCAAGATCACATGGTTTTGCACATATCAGGTGCATTATTCATTAGGCTGCATGGGTATCACTAGAGCCCTGTTTTCTGCTATAATACTTAAAAACTGGGTGACACTTAAAGAAACTTGACACCATGACCACTTCAATGAGCTGTAGTGTTTATGGTGTTTAGAGTCCTGTACTCTGTCAACACAGGTCATAATGGACAAAAAGTCTGTCTGCGAGTGAGGAGAGCTGTATACTTTATCCATATATAACCCTATATCATAATCACTACAAAGTAATGTAGTGGTTATAGTGAAAGCAAGTTATGGGCACATTTCTTTGGGTTTTGTAAATCCGTTTTAAAATCCGTTTTCAATCTGTTGTCATCACAGTAATTGAATGTTTCTTCCTCATAATCTATCCAAGTTTTTGTTTGTAATGAACAAGAATATTGTCACATTATATAACAAAGTACGTTATGTATCCTTGTAAGACTTGGATACATTATTAGCATTTATATCACTTTGTATAGCTAGATTTGAGTGTTGAAAAATTACAGCACATTAAAGGACCACTCTAGGCACCCAGACCACTTCAGCTTAATGAAGTGGTCTGTGTGCCAGGTCCAGCTAGGGTTAACCCATTTTTTTTTTTTTATAAACATAGCAGTTTCAGAGAAACTTTTTTTTCCACCTGGGCTATAGCATCGATGTACAGAATCCCTCTACCACGGGTATTCTGGAGTTCCTACAGTCTGGACTTGATAAGGGCTTAAGTTATAATACCTTGAAGGTACACGTCTCAGCATTATCCGCCTTAAAGGACCACTATGGTGCCAGGAAAACATACTCGTTTTCCTGGCACTATAGTGCCCTGAGGGTGCCCTCACCCTCAGGGTCCCCCTCCCCCCCCCGGCTCTGGAAGGGGGAAAGGGTTTTAAACTTACCTTTTTCCAGCGCTGGGCGGAGAGCTCTCCTCCTTCTCTCCTCCTCCGTTCCTCCTCCTGGGCTGAATGCGTACGCGCGGCAAGCGCTGCGCGTGCATTCAGCCGGTCGCATAGGAAAGCATTTACAATGCTTTCCTATGGAGGCTGGTGTGCTCTCACTGTGAAAATCACAGTGAGAAGCACGCAAGCGCCTCTAGTGGCTGTCAATGAGACAGCTGTTAGAGGCTTTGGGGGAAGGCTTAACCCATTAATAAACATAGCAGTTTCTCTGAAACTGCTATGTTTATTAAAAAATGGGTTAACCCTAGAAGGACCTGGCACCCAGACCACTTCATTAAGCTGAAGTGGTCTGGGTGCCTAGAGTGGTCCTTTAACTAATCACAGGTGGGGCTTGAATGCAGATGTCATCAGATTCATCAAGGGGGGTCCTAAAAATAAAGCCTCCAATTAAGCCGTTTGTCCCGTCTTGGAATCTACCTCTAGTTCTCAGTGCTTTGAAAGCATAGTCTTTTGAACCTTTCGAGTTAATTCCTCTAAATTTTCTCTCCATCAAAACAGCCTTGTTAACTGCCTTGGCTTCAGGGAGGAGGGTATCTGTACTTCATGTCCTATCCATCAATGAACCCTTCACGGTCTTTCACAAGGACAGAGTCATTCTTCGTACGGTGCCGGAGTTCAGACCGAAGGTCACCTCTGCTTTCCATATCAACGAAGACATTGTTCTTCCGTCTCTGGTGTCTGAATTTGAGGATGAAAAGGGTAAGGCAGACCTCTCTTCATTAGACCTAGTGAGATGTCTTCGGATATGTCTTCAGAGTCTCTTTGTCCTTCATAGCGGTTGTCAAAATGGTATGCAGGCTCCCAAAACAACAATTAGCAGATGGATAGTTGCGGCAATCATACAAGCTTATCAATCCTCAGAATGTCTGGTTCCAGAGGGCCTCAAAGCCCATTCTACCAGACCCCTCTCATCCTCTTGGGCTGCCGCAGCCGGAGTCTCTCCTGAGCTCATTTGTAAGGCAGCAATTTGGTCTTCAGCTAATACAGGAGTTATCAGATTGATGTCAGAGCAGGACAATCAGATCAATTTGCAAAATCCGTCCTTTCAGTTAAAAACACATGATTTTTCCCCCCCTTATTTGTCACTTGATTGTAGTGCTAATACACTTTGCATTCTAAATTTATGGAGTCTGTGTCTTCTTCCCTCCCGGGGTTATTGCTTGGGTATCACCCAATGTTGTGCTGCCATGGATATGGCCAGGAAAAGGGAAAATGTATTCATACTTACCGTAATTTTCTTTTCCTGGACATAGGCCATGGCAGCACAAGGGTCCCACCCGGGGATATTGCTGGTAACAAGACTGGGGAAGGAGGGGTAGGAGGTGGTACTTATACCTTTCTATTATTAATCCTGTCCAATTGGGGATAGGGAGGAGCTACCCAATGTTGTGCTGCCATGGCCTATGTCCAGGAAAAGAAAATTACAGTAAGTATGAATACATTTTCCCTTATAATAGACCCAATACAGGCAGGAAACATTGATTGCAGACATAACTAATCAATACATGATGTTCTGGTTAAACATAAAGCAACAACTCACATAAAGGCATGTTAAGAAATTGAAACACTGTAGAAAATC